GTGTACCGTATTATTGAGAACAAATTCAACTTTTTCTAATACACTATCCGTTTTCTGTGTCTACTAATTTGGCTATCATGGTGCCTAACGACATATTAATCAACTCCACTTACAGTTGCCACGTAAAGGAGCGAAAATTCGGTGTTGGATTCGTGGTAGGAGAGAGACTCCGTGGCAGAGTACTGGCGTTCACCCCGGTGGACGACGTCTAGCCACAATCTGCATCAAAGCTAGATTCTTCAACATCTCGCTCATCTGCGCCCATGCCCCGACGGAAGAGAAGGATGAGGCGTCCAAGGATCTCTTCTATGAGCGCTTGGAGCGTATATATGAGCGCTGCCCTCGACACGATGTCAAAATCGTGCTTGGCGATTTTAATGCCAAGGTGGGCAAGGAAGAGATCTTTGGCGCCACTGTCGGAAAATTCAGCCTCCACGACGAAACGTCCGATAACGGACTGAGGCCGATCAACTTCGCCGGGGCCCGAAACATGGTAATATGTAGTACTAGGTTCCCGCATAAGAACATCCACCTAGCAATATGGCTGTATTCAGATCGAAAAACGAGAAACCAAATCGATCATGTTGTAATAGACGAAAGCCACGCTTCCAGTGCTTTTGACGTACGCACGCTCCGACGCCCAAACATCGACTCAGACCACTATCATGTTGCAGCCAAGATACGCACCTGCCTCTGTGCAGCAAAAAATGTGCGCCAAAATATGCAACGAGAGGTTTACGTCGAAAAGCTGCTATCACAACAGATAGACAGTGCTTTCTCACACCTGCTCTCAGAGAGCACTCTTCAACAAACCGACATATGCGAGCAGTGGAACCTCATCTGCCGCTCATTAAGTACCGCCGCCGAAGAAGTAGTCGGATTTCAGCAAGTCCGAAAGAATAACTGGTACGATGAGGAATGTCAAGAAGCCGAAGAAAAAAAAAGACACCGCCTATAGGGCCACGCTGCGATCGGGCGCAATGCGAGCCATGTAAGACCGTTATAGTGAACTGAAGAAGGAAACGAGACGTATTTTTCCGCATTAAGAAGAGAGAGGCCGAAATACGTGAGTGCGAGGAGCTTGAGATGCTGGCTGACAGCAAGAACTCCCGAAAATTCTACCAGAGGGTTAGGCGACTTACGGAAGGTTTCAAGGCCGGGGCGAAGTCCTGTAAGAACAACAATGGCGACCTAGTGGCCGATGTCCAGAATGTACTTAAATTGTGGAGNAACAACAATGGCGACCTAGTGACCGATGTCCAGAATGTACTTAAATTGTGGAGGGAACACTTTTATAACCTATTGAAAGGTAGAAGCGCTAAAAGTAGTGGAGAAGACGAACCCGAGTCCTCAGTCGATGATGATGGAGTAGGTCTCCCACCGCCTGACTATGACGGGGCACGAATAGCGACTACCCCGCTGAAAAACAACAAAGCTGCTGGAGCTGGCGGCCTGCCAGCCGATCTATTCAGGTACGGCAGTGAGGAGCTGATGAGGTGCATGCATCAGCTTGTATGAAGAATATTTTCAGATGAACGCATGACCGACGACTGAAATTTAAGTGTGCTCTGCCCAATCCACAAGAAAGGGGACCTCGCCATTCGAGCGGAATCAGCCTTCTAAGCATAGGTTATAAGGTCTTATCGAGTGTATTTTGCGAAAGCCCACCGTCAACGAACTGATTGGACCTTATCAGTGTGGCTTTAGGCCTGGNCACCGTCAACGAGCTGATTGGACCTTATCAGTGTGGCTTTAGGCCTGGCAAATCCACCATGATCAGGTATTCACAATACGCCAAATCTTGGAAAAGACCCGCGAGAATAGGATCGACACATACCATTATATTTGTCGATTTCAAAGCCTCTTTCGACAGCACGAAGAGAGGTTACCTTTTTGCCGCGATGTCTGAATTTGGTATCCCCGCGAAACTAATACGGCTGTGTAAAATGACGATGAGAAATACCACCAGCGACGTCAGAATAGGGAAGGACTTCTCCGAGCCGTTTGAAACCAAACGAGGTTTCAGACAAGGGGACTCCCTTTCAAATTTCCATCGATAGCTTAAATTTGTGACACACAATGGCTAGAGGCGTCGCCTGAGGGCGTTCTTTCATATATTTATGTATGTGCCAGTTTTACCGTTATATATTTTTTATCTACTCGTTTATTCCATGGGGTATTCATGCTTTATTTTAATTTAAAAAATTAAATTACTATACCGTCTTAAAAATCTGAAAATTCACTGCGGGAAATTATTTTATTCTCGTTTTGTCTTCGCCTTCTCGTTTTTGCCTGTATAAGTTTTGAAAAAAGTTTTGAACGAACCATTATATCACATTCCTAGGCAAGTTTGAAAGAATATTTTCGATACTAAATTTTATCAAAACAAAATGTTGAAATCAGCTTCATATAGGAAAAGTGTCATCGTTAATTAAGAAAGAAATGTAATTACATATCATATTGAGTAGATTTGACTATTTATTTTATTATATTTTAATATGAATTATTTGTTTATAAAAATATAGTTTATTCCTTAACAAACACTAAATGAAATTAAGTTTTATCTTTGAACAACATTAAAAAAAATCGACAAACTTTCTATTTCAATTTGATCTCTTAATATTTTGCAGTTTTTTAGCTCATTCAATTTTAGTCTAATAAAGTGCAAATTTAAAGTAGCTGTGATTTACAGTTGATGTATGGCATATTTTAGACGATATCGGTAATTTTCTTCCATATTATCTAAGTATGTTTGATGATTTTTTTAGAGAGAATGAGCAACGCCTTCATCAAAAAAAAAAAACAAATATTAAAAATCAACGATAAGCCGCAGCTATGTATTTTAAACTTGCGCTTTATTTGAATTGATCGGGCTACAAAACTGCATAATCAAAATATGTATTTATAGGAAATCTAATTAAAAAGCTTTACGAAAGTTTGGACCTTGGATTTATACGGGTTTTTTCAAAGTGTAAACTGCACTTTTACAAACAAATAATTAAAATTATATAATTTTAAGATAAATGGCCAATCAAGTTAACATGTATAAAGTTTTGATAAGCACTTGAAATGCCAAGTTTGAGTACTGAATTCAAATTCTTCATCCATTCATAATAACTTAAAAAAATTTGTTTGTTAAGAAGTGTATCTTAAAATATCTGCCTTGACATTTATCTTAAAAGTGTAAAATATGTAAATGCACCTACATAAACTTTCCCGTGAATACCATCAAAGCATTGGTCTTGAAGGGAATCTATGTATGCATGCATATGAGAAAATTAAAAAGTCGTTACAATTTACAGTCGTAAAGTACAGTTTTTGTATAGATTATAGATTATTTCCCAACACTGTGGGGAACTAAGCAAAATGGCCTAGTGTATTTCACAAATATTCAAATACATAATCCACCAACCGATAACTTTATGTATTCATTACAAGATAATTTGTCATCAGTGTGAAATAAAATATCATAAATAAAAATTTTCATTTCACTGACGAGGGGAGGATCTATCCCCCAAATCCCCCCTGGCTACGCCACTGGGTCTGATGGTGAACGAGGACAAAACGAAGTATCTCCTGTCATCACACAAACAGTCAGGGCATACGCGTCTTGGCACCCACATCACTGTTGACAGTTTGAAAAAGTAGACGACTTCGTTTATTTGGGAACCAGCATTAACACCAATAATAATGTCAGCCTTGAAATCCAACGGAGAATCACTCTTGCCAACATGTGCTACTTTGGGCTGTGTAGGAATTTGAGAAGTAAAGTCGTAAAAAGATCACACTCTATAAGTCACTCACCATGCCTGTGCTGGTGTATAGCACGGAGGCATGGACAATAAAAGCATCTGATGAGGCGGCTCTTGGAGTTTTCGAGAGAAAGGTTCTGCGAAAGATTTACAGATGACGCGTTGGTGGTGGCGAATATCGCAGACGATTTAACGATGAGCTGTATCAGCTTTACAAGTATATAGACATAGTGCAGCGAATTAAAATTCAGCGGCTCTGCTGGCTTGGCCATGTCGTTCGAATAAACAGAAACGCCCCTGCTCTGAAAATATTCAACGCGGGTCGCGATACTGGTAACAGAGGAAGAGGAAGGCCTCCTCTGCGTTGGAAAGAGCAGGTGGAGAAGGACTTGGCTTCACTTGGCATTTCCAATTGGCTCCAGTTAGCACAGAAGAGAAATGACTGGCGTGCTGTTTTGCACTCGGCCAAAATCGCTGGCACTGCGCGCACACTGCAAGCGACATTGGCCGAATACTTCTCGGTCGATGTCGGGTATATTCGGGCGAAATAAATAAACACTTGTATTTATATGAGCGCTCTGCTCTCACACATAAATCGATAACCGAACCGACATCGGTCTTTGATGTCCGTCAGTGACGATAAATTCAAACATGTTTGTTTTTCTCGTTCGATGTCAGCTGGTAGCATTAAAATTGACTGTGAAAAATTAATAAATTGTATACAAAACCGACGTTCTTTATGGGATAAACAATTAAAATTGTATAATATCGTGATATAGCAAAAAATTTGTGGTCAAAAATGGCAACAGAGCTAGGCGTAGATCCTGAGGAAGCAAGGAAAAAGTGGAGCAACTTGGGGGATCAATTTCGAAAGGAATATTATAAAGTTAATAAACCAGGAAAATCTGGGGATGGCGCAGGTGCAATCTTTACATCAAAGTGGGCCTATTATAATTCTTTGGTATTCCACGCAAATCAAATTGACCCTTGTCATGGTAATTTATCAATGCAGGAAACCGAAAAATGTACTTCTGAGGTAAGTACCCATTAATGGCAAGTTAAGAATGGTCTTAATTGTAATATTTGCTCTTTCAGTAAATTATAGCTTAACCTACCTCGCCATCAGCGTCACAGTCGACAGCAGAAATAGCAAAACCAACACCTGTTTCTCAATATCGTCAACATGCGTCCAGAGCATTTAGCAAGCGAACCTGTGATGTGGATCAGGAATATTTAGATATAGAGAAGAAAAAGTTAAGATTATTCGAGCCTAGGACAAAAGTTGTTTGATGAGCTTAATTCCATACATGAAGGAAGTGCCTCGGAACAGAAAACTTTCAGTTCAACAAAAGTTATTGCAAGTTTTTGTAAACGAAGACAGGCTAGCGGCTTTATATAGGGGTATATCCTAAGACCCACTGCAGTCCGAATACACGAATTCTCCTGTGTCGGTGTATTCCTCAGATGATGGAACCCACGAAAATCCCAAAGTTATTAACAACGAGCAAACGTATTCGTCAATGAAAAATCCTATTTCTCCTCAGTCCAATACACAGCTTTATAGGCTCAGAATCTTCACACGATATTTTTAATTGAAGCAATCTTTAAGTGTGTAATATTAGTTGCGTTCCAGATGCTTCACGATTTGCAGGTTTTACAAGATTTTCAGGAAAAGCTGTTTTCTCCATTTCACCTTGAACGGCTTCCTGTAAAAACCTGCAAATCGTGAAGTATCTGGAACGCAACTATTGAATTCTGTGATTTGTAATTTGCACAACATAAATTCAATTAAACTATAAAATGGCTCAAATTTTTTTTTAGTTGAGTTCCATTTGCAGTTATAAACATACAAACAATGTAAGTAACTTTTACAAGCTTTCATTGGAATAAAGTTTAAGTATAAAAAGATTTAAATTTTTCACGAATAGTGTAGGCTTCAGTGGTACTTCTGTTTAGTCTTCTAGATGTAGTTTCTGGCCTACCTGTTGCAGTTTGAGAACTTGGATTCTGATATTGTCTCTGAATGGGGCATCCCTCTAAGTTAATAATAATGTTGTTAAGAAAACATATGCACTTTACTATAATTTCAGCGTTTTCTTGGGTTGTTTCAATTGACTTATTCAGTATTCTCCATGTGGTAATCCCAAAAACACATTCTACCACTGTTCTGGCATTCGATAAACGTTGATTAAAACAGTTTCTTGTACTCCTAGTTATCGTCCTGAATAAGGTCTCATTATATTTCTTTTTATGGGATATACCTCATCAGCTATAAGCACTAGAGGCAAAGCCACATTTGTGTTTGGTAAACAGTTCAATTTGCTTGTGTTAATGAAGTTGTTTTCTATATGTCGATACAAAAATGAATTTGCGAGTACGCCTCCATCGCTTTGTTGGCCATAAGCACCTACTTCAATGATAAGAAATTTGTAATCTGGGCTAGCAACCGCTTGCAAAACTAAGGAGAAATACTTTTTGTAATTAAAGTACAAACTCCCTGAATTACTTGGGCATTTTACACGTACGTGTTTGCCATCCAAACTACCAACACAGTTTGGGAAGCCCCACATTTTTTTATAATATAATTCTGCATTTCGGATAAGCATTTCACTGTTTGCTACTGGCATATGTTCAGATACTAAAGTGGTAAATACTGCGTGGCACGTTTCTCTCACTATTTGCGATATTGTGTTATCTGCAATTCTGAATGAGAAGAAAAGTGCTCTAACGCTCCAGTGGCCAGATACCTGAAATTAAATTAAACAATTAGTTTGGTATGCTTGAACGAACTCATTTAACCTTAAACCTTAAGGTTACTACAAGTCTCTCCTCTGGTGTAATGCTTTCTCTGAAGTTCGTATTTTGCTTTATAATCCAAGAATATATTCAAATGTGGAATGTTTCATTCTGAAATGTTCATAAACCTTCAATGGCTGCGGTTTCAGTCCTCTAAACAAATGGTGGTATTCCCCCAATTCACATCTTTCCTGGAATATTTCATTAACCCATTCCTTTCGACGCATTCTTCCCCTTCGAACTATGTATGAAGAAGTCTCCATAAAATAATTTTCTTCAAGCTCGTCCATTATAATTTATTGAACAAACTTCACTGCGTTCTAAACTAAAATGAACAAGTAAAAATGTCTAAGTTCGGGCGGAGTATCAAATATATGTTTTTTCACCTTTCCGAAACCTACCGCTAAATGGTAAGCCGGGGTGTATCAATTTTGAGTAAATTATGAATGAGTGAATAATCTTCAGTAGTTACTAAAATATCGCAGTTTTCGTATTTCCGAAAATTACCGTTATATGGGATGTAGGCGTGGTTATTGTCCGATTTTTTAAATTTTCGGTCATTTAGTATGCTGTATCAAGGCCAACAACTGTGCCAAGTTTTGAAGAAATTGGTGCAGCGGTTACCAAGATATACACATGTAACCATAAGTGGGCGTGGCTACGCCCATTTTCCAAAAATTCACAATATTCTTATTCTTCGTCTAAAAGTTATTGTAAATATCAATTTTGAGTGAATTAGCTTCAGTAGTACCTAAAATATCGCAGTTTTCGTATTTCTGGAAATTACCGTTATATGGGAAGTGGGCGTGGTTACAGTCCGATTTTCAATACCAACCTACCTTGGATTAAGGGAAACCTACATACCAAATTTCGTTGAGATATCTCAATTTTTGCTCGAGTTATCGTGTACACGGACGGACGGACAGACGGACAGACGGACGGACAGACAGACATGGCTTAATCGATTTCTTTTTTCATCCTGATCATTTATGTATACATTTGTCTATATCTATCTCGATTCGTTTTGGCTGTTACAAACAACCGTTATGTGAACAAAATTAATATACCCTTGTGCAAAGGTGCGCTCGGGTATAAAAACAGATTTGTACTTACAGATAGGGTCGGCCGATACTCACGTTAAGTATGCGCACCAGTTCGGACGATCATATCGTCCTACCGAAATCGGTCGGCTCATCGGCTGCAGTGTGCGCGTCGCGTTAGGCGGTTACAGCGCCAATAAAGAAGAAGAGAAGATGTGTACAGAGGCAAAGGCAACATTTTTGTTTTGCAGATCTTTCGCTGTATCACATTCGCATGAACGTAGCAAAGCTTTGCTCGATATGAAACAACAAGTAATTTTTAGCAAAAAAAAACCGACTTAAAAAAAATATATATATATCTATATATTTCATGATCCAATGATCGGATCTAAACCAAATTCGTATGGGACCACCTCTGAGACACTACCTTTCCGTTGCAAAAATATTATTATTATTATATAAGATTATTGAAATCGGTTGACGTGGTGCAAAGTTATGCGGTAACATACATAAAAAAAAAAAAAAAATATTCCGACGAACTGATAACCTCCTCCTTTTTTGGAAGTCGGTTAAAAACAGGGACGAAAACGAATAAATGGAACATAACAATGCTCAAATCCAAGTAAAGCCCACAGCGCTGCAGCAGTTTGTTGTTAGTGTGTATGAGTGTATGGATATCAGTGTTGCCGTTTTAGCCCTTTGGTTGCTAGATTTAGCTACGACATACTTTTTTTGGCCACATAAATTTAAAATTGCCCCTAGCCCTAAGAAAGGCTGATATAATATACATTAGACTGCATCACTCCGCATACAAAAAAAAATCGGTACTATTTTTCCATTGGAATTATAAAATCTATTATATTCTAAGACGACCACCAAAATATTTCGGAAAAATATTAAGATTTAAGTGAGCTGGACCGATTTGAAAATACCTCCAATGAATAAAAATAGTTTCTTAAAGATTTTTTTTGAAAAAATCCGCTCAAATGATAAAACGGTTTAACCTTAAAATATTTGCATAAAAATATTTCAAAAAAATTAAAAAAAAATTTGAACGGAATCGTAATGATGAGATTTTTGATGCTGTTCTTTAACTTTTTTCAAAGATTGGTATAGGAAAAACTTGAATAACTGAACCTAAACTCTTCTGATTTAGACTTAGGAGGTGTCATTGGAAAGGTATTTTCTCACCCTTTTTATTTCTTTGCTAATAAACTCATTCAAAGGATGGAAGAGAAAGGTAGGATGAACGAACGTCATTCAAAGTTGAATTAAGATATGTTGGTATTTGAAAAAACAAGATGAGGCACGAATGACGTTTTTTTGGCCAGAAATAAAAAGGGTGTGGAAATACCTTTCTACTGAGATCCCATAAGTCTAAATCAGAACATTTTTGGGCCAGTTATTCAAGTTTTTCGTAAACCAATCTTTGAAAAAATAAAAAAACAGCATCAAAAATCTAATTCTTACGATTCCGTTGAAAAGATTTTTAAATATTTTTATGCAGATTTTTTAAGCTTAATCTAATTTGTGATCTGAGGGGACTTTCTTCAAAAAGTTCTTTAAGAAACTATTTTTATTCATAAAAAACTTCATTTTTGGAGGTTTTTTCAAATCGGTCCGGCTCGCTTAAATCTTAATATTTTTCCGAAATATTTTGGTGGACGTCTTAGAATATAATAAATTTTGTAATCCCGGTGGAAAAAATGCAACTTTTTTTGGTGATGCAGTCTAATATACATATATGTATTGTATGTTCCTTACGTTTTTATACATACATACTGTAAAAGTGTTAGGGCTGTTAACTTATCTATTAACGATTTAACTATAGTTTCAAATAGATAAGTTTGCGGCCCTTAATATGCTTAATTTATTAAATGGTCCACCAAGTCGATTGCCCGTGTATGTTCTTGTGGTGTGATTTTACCAGCTGCTGGTGCGACTTAAAAAACTATTTGAAAATTTTATGATTGTATCAGCATGCTGGTGTCCTGAGTGGTAAAATTAGCTCATTTTTCTAAGTAAAAAGTATTTTGGCGGAAATTTCTTGCACTATATGAGTCTAAAGGCCTGTATGCAGTTCTCAAGAAAAGCTAAAATTCCATACAAAATTACGTACAGAAATGGCTAAGAAATTTTCTTGAGTCAAATTTCCTTCAGGTAGTAGGAAGTTCTTAAGAAATTTGCTAAGCTTTCTACT